GCTCAGACAAGGGGGAAAACGTTTTAGAAAATATTTTTAAACACGAGTCTAATGGTGGCATCATCAAAATATATGTTCTTATTTGTGAACAACTTCATACTATGCTTTTAGCATTTAAGCCCCTCTTTTGCTAAGATGTTAAGACGACGCTTGTACTTCGCATCTTGAATTTGAAGTGGTATCTGTTCCAGACTTTACCCACCTCCACTTTCTTTTTTGTTTCTGCATTTATTTATTCTTCACATGTTGGGATTGCCACTCGTTTCTGAAATGCAATGCTGAAATTGTCTCCGCCTTTGCTCGAACGAGGGAAACCTATCACAGTGATCTGCAGATTCAGATGCTGGCTGGCATATTCTTTGATACAACATGTCATCCAGCTTTTGATCAAGTGGAGGGTATAAGGAGTGTCTGGAGACAAATGTAACATGGAATCTTGTTTGTGAAGGAAGACTCTTGCCACAGTTGATTTTAGCATTGAAACTTACTTTCAAGAAATATTACTAGACAATTATGTGTAACAATACAACAAAATAGGTATTGTTTGAGACATACCACTATCTGGCTGATAGGAGATGCTGTCAGCTTGCATTTGTAATTGTTTACAAATTAAGGATAAGGTAAGGATAAAAAGCATTTATTTCCTTATTTTTTCTTCATTTGCAAAATAAAACTAATAGTGTATATATTGCTGAGGGAAATGTGCAGATATATGAAATGATATGAAGATCTCTTCATGCTGGTATCTATATAGTTTGCATTGTCCCAGTAAACATCCTTATAAAAAAAAGTCTTCAAATTCAATGAATATTCTCAGGGGAAAAAAAGTGCCATAACACAAACCGATTCCCACTTACTGACAGGGTCGTTTGAATGCTTAAAGACACGTACACCTCTCCAATGAAGACGCAAAAGCTGTAACAACTGCTTCTTACTAGAGTCATTAAACAAAACATGAAAAGTCATCATAGCACTAGCAGCTCAAAAACTGACAAGCAAGATGCTGGATCGTCGGAAAGGTTTGTCGCAAAGAAAGTGTTATAATAGCAAGACACCTAGCAGAGGATCTCAGGGGGTAGGTGTGGTGCAATACCCCTATTCCCAAGGAAGGCTTCAGCCTCTGCCAAACCCAGGCAAAACTCATTTATCTTGTCGTACAGAGCAGCCAAGCGTACACTTCCAGCTGACAGCAAAGGCACTTCCTCACCACACACCACTGGCTGATCTGGAACATTCTGCTCCCACTGAGGGTCTCAATCAACAGAAATACTCTAATGCTCGCACTCCTCATTAGGACTAACAGCTGTCTCCCCCGCCACACGGAGACACGGAACTGGTTTGCATAAAACGGAGATGAAAAAAGAAAAGTGCTGAAATCTCGCACACTTGAAATGCTGTGGAAAATCTCACAGCTTGCGGATTGCTGTAGCGTTCTCAATTCCACACTCCACACGAAAAATAAACAAATTACATCGAATTGAGGGCTCCTGCTTTTGAAAAGAAATGCTAAGGGTTTTCATTGATTCTAAGGCCGATTTTTTTTAAATGAAAAGGTCTTTCACAAAATCTGGTATCCAGAAAGAAAAAGGAAAAATAAGACACATACATTAAATGAGATTGGGCATCTGCTTATCAAGGTCCCTTACTTCTCAGGAAACAAAAAACAAATTAAGCACAACAGAAAAACTTTACTGTTTAATATGTAACTCCGTCCAAAATGTTGCCCAAGGTAATGAGGTCTTTAGGTATGTCCTTTAGAATGACTGAAGGAGCTACTTCACTGACAGCAGTACCGCAAAATAATTAGCTGTGCCTCATCAACTCCATTGCATCCTCTGAGCAATCCCCTTATGATGTGACCAATTCCTCCTTTGGGAAATACAGACTTCTGTGTACTGTAATAACCTGGAATCACAAGGCCTCTTTCACACTGAGATTTCACACTTCACACATATAGAGTTCTGTAGTTAATAAAGTCCTACAAAAGGTAGTTAGAAAGTTAAGTTTAAATTTAGTTTAGCAGGCTGGTTTTGTAGTCTGGGTGGATCCAAAAAGGCAAAAGCTACCCGAATAATGTACTATGCATTAAATACATTCTATATTCTTGTTTCTGTGAACACTAAGAATAATCAGAAATGTATTGTAAAGACTGTATAACTAAGTTGCCAGCAGCCATATCACACTGCAGCTCACAACTGGCAACCCACTGAAGCTAAGCAGGTGTGAGCCTGGTCAGTACCTAGATTGGAGACCTCCTGGGAACAACTAAGGTTGCTGCTGGAAGAGGTGTTAGTGGGGCCAGCAGGGGGGCGCTCACCCTGCGGTCCATGTAGGTCCTAATTCCGCAGTATAGTGAAGGGGACACTATACCGTAAAAAGGTGCCGTCCTTCGGATGAGATATAAACCCGAGGTACTGACTCTCTGTGGTCAATAAAAATCCCAGGGTGTTTCTTGGAAAGTGTACCAATTATGGCCTCCTAATAATCCCCACTCATCTCCTTCCCACTGATAGCTGATGTGTGGTGAGTGTTTTGGTGTACTATGGCTGCCGTCGCATCATCCAGGTGGATGCTGCACATTGGTGATGGTGGAGGGAAGACTCCATTACCTGTAAAGCGCTTTGAGTGGAGTGTCCAGAAAAGCGCAATATAAGTGTAACCAATTATTAAGTTAAGTTTAATTTTCTCTTACAAAATTTAATGCTCCTGTAATATGTTCAAGTCAAAATGTTAGCACATCAGCACAGCTAACTTGAAAACACAGCAGCTTAAAGATTTATTTATTCATTAAGATCAGAAAGTGCAAGATCACATTTGTTTCTAGGGAAATCAGTTTCTCATGTGCATGCTTAAATAGGTGTGACATTATCTACCCAACAATATACCCAGCTTATGCATTGCAAGACAAGTACTGATGCAGATTCAAGTATTTCTAAATCATTTAAATTGAGATTTAACCTAACAACGTTTGAACATTTTTAAGGTACTCCAGGCAATCTGCTTTAGATGTCAAAAAACAACGAATTGGTGCGTCAGTCACTGAAGAAGCAGAAATGCAGTTAAAGGAAGAAAGTGAAATTAAGCTGTCACATAGCAGCTGAAAAGATTTCAGGTGCTAATAATTAGCTTTTAGACATGCAGAAAAAATGTCTACACAAATGCCAAATACAGGATTATTGATTTTTTTCCTCAGTGTGCACACAGACAGATATAGATGTACCTAGACCACTCTTGATGTGTCTAATACTGTGGTACATTGCATTTAGACATTTTGAAATATGGCATTCTACAGAATCTGGATATTGTTAATGACTGGACATGTCAGGAATTGGAAAAAATAGAAGTATTAGCAATCAGAGTGCTTTATATACACTTGACACACTGATGAACAAAAACACTTAAGATATTTTCCTAATGTCATTACCCACAAACAACATCAACAGAGTATGTTCTAGTAACATATTTTATAACCCTCCCCACTGCTATTCATTGGCTTACCACTGGGCTTTTAAAGAGCCCCGTTTTAAAAAACAACTGTTTGGATCTTTTGTGCAAATGAAAAGAGTAAAAGCAACAAGATGGTGTGGTACATAAAAAAAAATTAACGGCTATATCTTGGCAACGACAAGCACGATTTGCAAATTGCTAATAGCACATTCCTCGTTAAGACCATCTCCCTGTAAAATCCTGCAACCCTTTCACATTTGCTGAAAACATCAGGAAAAAAAGTACTTCTGCTACAGCCTATTTCTCGACACAGGTCTTTGGTTTACACAGGAAGTGTTAACGGACCAACTTTGTGCTGGTCTGAATGCTACTTGAGACTCGTGTGTGCCACAAATAACATTAGACATGCTGTGCAGCCAAATAAATGGCAAACAAAAGGAAGGAAAAGCAGAACAATAATATTTTTGCATAAATATGAGCGCCATGAGTAGGACACATTGTGAAACACAATAAAAAAAAAATAACTAGCTTAGTGACTTTACAGGAAGCTGAAAATAAATCAGAACACCAAGGTACCAGGCTGATCTGACTTCACCACTCAGGATGAGTCCAGCACATACTGAGTCTTGTATACCTGAAAATGCCACCTCTGCCCTACCACTCCAAATGGCTGCTTGACAAATTGCTTTGCAGTCTGGCATTTCCCTACATTACGACACCACTCAAGCAAGAAAACTGCTAAAGGGAGACAGGTCTCCAGCAAATTAGCCAATAAGGAGCAGGACATCTTATTGCCCTGGCACCAGTAATATACAGATTATTTTGTAACACTGAGTGCCTACACTTAGTACATACACAAAAGAATTCCATATAACAAATTAGCAATCATCAAACAAACAAGCTGTCCTAAATATTAACTAATTAAAATGGAAACCAATAACAAACAACAAATGAATAATAAATTAATGTTAATAGTCATAGGTTCTGAACAGATGTACCTTTATGTGACTAAAAAAATGGTGGACAAGCTGTTATCTACAACAAAGAAAGAACAGCCCTGCCCTCTGGTGGTAGAGATGAGTATAACAATTGCACAACTCCAGTTCTCTTCAGGTACAGTGACAGAAAATGTAAAAACTGTTTAATATGCCAGCTAAACACAACATGACTTATCTGGTATTACCTTCAGCTCACCAAAACCGAGGCTGAAGAATACTATGGTTTTCACTCTAATTGAGCTCGAGCATAATTAAGCTGTGATACCAATTAATAGGTAGCACAGGAAACCAAGGATCTAGGAATAATAAGAGCTGTAACACATCTTTACATCTTTATTAAAAACTACAATTGTTCAATGTAATGCAATTTAAAAAACGTGACTTTTAAAGAGCAGCTGGCCCCTTTTCCATCATAACGCAATGCTGTTAATATGGTGAACAAAACTGTAACATTCATCAACTTGTGCTTCTGATTTTTTTTTTATCAGTGGCCTAAATATCACCTTTTTTCAGCTTTGGAAAAGATTGACAAAGAACTGTATCCCCAGGACTTACTCGGTGTGGCCCTGAAAGACATTCACAGAGTGTATTGAAGGGTCTCTGAAGTCCCAGAGACGGAAGGTGGTGTCGCGGGAGGATGTCACTACCAGACGCTGTGTGGGATGAGTGCAGCAGTGGGTCAGCTCCTGATCGTGACCTGCACAAGAGCCAAGACGCATTACTGTAAGGAACTGAGCCGCGCCGGGTTGAAATAATAACGTCATTCTTGTAACGCAGCCTTCGCAGACAGACATCAAAATCCCCTTGCGACAACCATTTGATCACTAGGCTTGGACTCTCACGAGCCCTGTGGGAAAGGAAATTTATGTTGTACAAATTTCACCACTATTGTCCGTCTTTCCATAGAACAGATTCTTAAGATAGCAGATAGCATTTAAAATCCAGCTCCTGTCTTGACTCACATATTAAAAGAAGTAACATTCCCACTGCACGGCAGTTACACCCTATAAACTGTGCAATTTTAGCCATCACAAGCTGTTATATATTTGTTACCATGTTATGAGTGAATGCCTAAAGACATGCTTCAGAATGATTTAGAATGATATTTACTAGCTTTTCTGGTAAAGTTTAAGACCAAACTGCTATACAGTGAGAAAGTCAAGTTCCCTTTACATACTGTACAAGAGCTTGTAACTGTGAAAGGTAAATCTGGTAATGAGGGCTAGTCAATGTTATTTGCCAACAAAATCCAAAGGAAACACCGCTCCCGACATTAAATGCTGAATCCAAACAATGAAATCTTTGGTTTAAATCCCAACGTTACCGTCACCCGGAGGAGTCTGAGAAGCACTGTGGGACTTTACCTGTGAGGGAGTGAACGAGTTCTGACGTTTCCACATCGTAGAGGTTAGCAGCTCGGTCCCAGGAGGCCGTGACCACCTGCTTTCCCCCTACTAGCCAGTCGGCGGCTATCACCACCCCCTGGTGGCTCTTCAGCGTGGTGGAGGGGATTCTGATTGTCGGGCACTCGCTGGAGACGTCACCATCTGCCTCTGCCTCGTCTTTGTCGGAGAAGTCCACATCGTCTTCACAAGGGGCCTGCTGAGAGAGGGAAATCAGACCGCACATGTGCCGACAAACTGCATTCTCAAGCATAACCAGCTTTGATCCAGCACGTTTTTATGACAGGCCCAATAAACACGGGTGCAGAATATTTAGATATTTTGTGGTTCTCACATGAACATTTTCGCCATTAGAGATGTGATTAAACTAGCATAGCATGCTATGTTTAGAAAGCAGCAAGACCCCAAATGTACATACTCCCGTTGCAAAGTCAATAATGAAATAATGGTAAGGAAAATCAGAAAACAGAACAAGAAATACTGTTTTGTTTGATTCTGCTGCTTGATTTTTATAGATCATTTCGTGGGAGGCCATGGAAATTTCACCATTTCCTATTTGCCTTTCCCTGCAAATCTGCACTTATCTAAGCCAATGGTTCCGAATTCTGGTCCTGGAGGAGTGTTGTATCTTCTAGTTTTTGCTCCAACAGAGTTCTTAATCACAGCCTAATTCATTTCATTTTTTTTTCCCTCTGGAGCACATTAATATATAACAGGATTTTAAAATGGGACCAACCCTCTGCCAATTTCTGATATTCAGAACTTTCCTCAGTCAGGTATGATGCCTGAAAAGTAAACAATCAGACCTCTGCAGAAGTAAAAAAAAAACTGTATTGTACGAGTGTTTGATACAGGATCTTTCCCCCTGTGTCTGTACATAATTAATTCATCAAACAGTAAGAGCTGCTCACTCAGAAGTAAGGCCAATCAAGTTCAGGAGTGGCTTCAAAAAGTTCCATGTGCTGAAGTTGCTGGGAAAATTACCCGTAAAGTATGGTATTTCTGACACTCAGCACTGATTGAAGGAACAGGATGATTAAAAGTCTCAACAAGCAAGTAGATCAATTAAGTTATAAATCAGAACAGGAAATTCAGCTGGAATTAAAACCAGTGTCACTCCGGGACCAGGGCAGGAAAACCACTTATTTAACTACATACATACAGTACATTAAATAATATGTAACAGCAGGTCTATTTGTAAGCAAGTAGTTCTTGTTTCTTATTTTTTACAATGTGAGTAAACATTCTTTGAAAGGAAAGCTCACTTCCAGTTTCATAGCTCCAGTCCTGGGGGAACCCAAGTGGTAGTTTTCTTACCCAAACAGCAGTTTCAAGACTGCATGGCATTACAGTACATACAACAAATAACCCACATTACATAATAAATAAGTTTATGTGCATTATATGTAAACAGTAAAGGATTATATATAAATGTAAAGGAGTGAAGAATTTTACACAAAGGATAATAAAGTGTTTCTCAACCTTTTCCATCCCATGGCACACTTACATAAACGAAACAACGTTGCGGGACTCTGCACCGGTCCCCACACACATACTCATCAATGGCCCAAGCGCATGATGAATAATATTATTAACAAAGCTGCAATATTTCGCCTGGGTCGCCTCGTCCAGGCAGTAACTGATGACAGTGAGATTCGGCCGATTGTGTTTTTCATATCAAGCTCGAAATACTCTGCTACACGTGAAATCCCACGTGTGCAGTCTTAAAGGCCGTGACCTTCATCTCGTGGACATGCACTAAACGTGCAGCATGACACTTTGGTTACCACAGAAAGCGTATATATCTAAACACAGTTTTATTCGCTTTTTAATTTTCTCACATATAACGTTTTCAAAATTCCAAAGTATACCCATTAATGCCTGAAGGACACCCCTGTGATGCGGCACACCTGTACAGACAATGTGTTTAATAATTTAGCCAGACTACTGCTGGCTTGCAATGTAGCACTCTTCTCTGCTTACGCCTGTGTCTGCTGCTGGCTGTGGGGTGGGCAGTTGCACCATAAACCTCCAGATGTGAGCCGTCTGGTCTCCAGATGCTGTTGATACAAATGCAGATGGACTGATAAATTACGTTTACCTAACAAATGACTATTTATTCATCAAAACGTTCTCCATATTTAATTAGGTACAAGCATTTCGGCTTGTTACAAGATTACAAATGTGGTGACAAATAATGCTAACAACCATTTCAAAAAACCATCATGAAAATTCATTAAAGCAAATGTAAAGTATGCACATCCATGCCTCAAGTCAGAAAACTAAGCTTAATTAAGCGGCATGAAATAACTAAGCAAATGGTAAGAATACACATCAACTGAAAGAACTACTGAACTGTATAATGCACCATTTCCTTAGCAGTAATAATCATTACTTTGTTTAGTGATGAGGCCTCATAAAACTTTAATAATAAGAGCATTCTAGGATTTATCTAAAAAAAATTAAAAGCAAATGGGTAAGACCTGTACCACGGCATTTAGTATTTTACAGCAACATGTTAAATTGATAATGTTAATGATTTCTAGCACAAACAGCACACCAGTCTTGTAAATCATTAAATATTATTAATGTATGGAACCATATTTTTCATCTGTAACTTTAACATACAGTATGTATGTATTTTAACTGCATTCATACCATATAAATTATTTTTGTACATTATTCCAACACGCAAAGCCAGATGAAGCTATCTATGTTTATTTATCACTCACCTGTAAGAGCAATCTGTTCCGTAGGATGAAACTTGATAGAGTTAACTAAAAAAAACACACAAAACACAACGATAATACAAAATTTGTATCTAACCTCAGCACAAGATGAACTATCTATGATATGAAGGTAGGACACAATTGTTTTTAAGCTTAATTATTATTTAAATATTAATATATTATTAATATTTTTGAACAACTGGATTTATATTCATCCAATGTGGAATCACCAATTGTCTCTTTACATCTCAGATTTGTTTTTGTTACATTTCATTAGGATACAAATTAAATTAGGTTCTACAGCTTTAGGGTTAGCTTTTTCCAATTAAAGTTCTTGGGACACAATCACAGTTATAGGAGGTGCTAAAGAAAGAAAAGGACTGGTGGCGTTCATGTTTCAGTTCTTAATTGGATTGTCCTGCTCTTTGAATAATCCTAATCCTAATCATAAACAATATGAATCAAAACACAGTGGCAATCACATGTTGTGACAATGAAGACTACATACACTCATCTGTATTCATGTTCTAAAAATTCCAATCTAGTTATTAACAAATAAAAAGTAAAAAAAAGTAATAGTGGGTTTTTTGAGAATAGACCGTATTTTTGATAAATACATTTGAGGATTTATGTTTGCTGTGCTAATTTAGGCATTTGTTAATCTCCCTAATCGTTGAGAACATTTGATTTCAGCTGTGAGTCTTTTTTTTTTTCCTTAACAGATGATGGCAATTTTACAAGCCCCTTACCTGATCCAGCATGACCAATATACTTAAGAAGGCACTTCCCAGTCTCAATGCTCCACAGCATAGCACTGTGATCTGTGTAAAAGGGAAAACATTCCTTGGTGAATTACACAACATCCACATGATCTCGGACTGGTTGCTTGGTTTGGCTGATTTATTTACACCATAATGTTTAAAAAGGTTGCTGGTTCAACTCCCATGGCCGGCAGAGGAATCCTACTCTGTTGGGCCCCTGAGCAAGGCCCTTAACCCCAACTGCTCCAGGGGCGCTGTACAATGGCTGACCTGCGCTCTGACCCCAAGCTTCTCTCCGTGTCTCTGTGCCTTATGGAGAGTAAGCTGGAGTATGCGAAAAGGCGAATACCTAATGCAAAATATTGTACATGGCTAATAAAGTGATCTTATCTTATCTCTCTTATCTTACACTTTATAAAAAAGTCCCAGTTTTTGCAAGTATAACTATTCTTAAGTACGGTACCATATTCTGTGCTGTATTACAGTAGTGCTATCTCTTTTATCTGGAGCCAGCAATGTTAAATACAGAGGCGTTTCGTGCATTTTATTTCCTCGTGAATTTTGGAGTCTGGTTATTCTGTATTTCAGAAAAAAAATATCCAGGGGAAAAATATCTTCAGTTAACCACATTGCTCCCCTGGACATCCTGACGTTCAAAAAATGCAGATCTACTCCAGCTACAGTTCATTTCCTGCATGCAAACAAAACGATCCCTCGTTTTTTCACATCCAGGTGGTTAAGTTTGGTTCCCCAATCAAGAATAAAATGAAAACACCTTCCATGTCTGTCAACAGACCCTGCCTGAGTTCTAATGTATTTCATGGAAGCTGAATGGAACAAAAACAATTGAAAAGCAGTTTACCAGCTGACGCAGTGCCCAAGACAACTGGCTGTGTCCGGGTGAGGCACACATCCCAAATGCCGTCCCTGTGCCCAACATACTCCTTCACCAGCTGGCATACGGCTCGTGATGTTGTGGTCTTAAAACTTGAGACAATCTGCAAAAAGGAACAACAGGATCCATACAGATCGCTTTGCACGCTAATTTTATTCAGGCGGCAAGCAGAGATGGAAGTAAACTGACAGAGAACTTCTGTTCCTTTTCCAGCGTAATGCATACTTCACGACTGGATACATATTTGAGCCGCAGGCTCTGACTGCGCTTGCGAGCATTTTCACAGCATGAGGGAAATTAAAATATGAGCACTTTAGCTTGTTTTTCTTATAACATGTTAGGAACAGATACGTTCCATTAACATATTAAGTTAACATTAACATTAACATTGTTAAGTTCCATTTTGGATTTAGCCTCCTATTTGCCTGGATAAAAAAAAAAAAAAACAACTAGAAGGAGTCTATTGTTTGTAAAAAGAAAGTTCTGCAGTATAAGGCAATGAGAAATTAATACATGGTAATCTAAAGCCCTCTTTAAATTTCAGCCACATTCAGTTCCTTAATTAATGTGAATAAACACATGATATAGCTAAAATATCTTCCAAAGCGATGCATTACGAGGCACATAAATGCATACACAGAAATATATGAGATGCACGTAGTGTATACAAAGACAAAAAAATGAAGTCTTCCAGAATATCACTAAAACTAAGCTCCACATAAACAGATACAGGACGAATAAGCACGAATAAAAAGTTCATAATTTTTCATGTAATGATGGCATACACACATTTGAATAAAGTCTGAAGATGCACTAAAGCACCGATAGAAGGACTTTCTCCCATCATTCAAGAAAAAAACACTCGGTAGCGCATAAAAAGTATAGTGCCGAAACCTCCACATTTTCCTTTTAAGGTTAAGGAATCCAGGACCTGTGTAAATCTAATATTGATAGAACATGCTATATTAAGCAATCAGAGCTGTTAGATGTGTTAGATACTGCAAAGCAAAAAATATACCTCTGATGGGTTCCTACAGCCTCCAGCTTAACTACCAATTCCAATAGCTCTCAATATTTTCTTCCAAAGCATTGTTGCATTGGATAGAAATGTCATGTTCCTCTTTGGTTTGCACCACTGAAAATGTTCTCTGCATTTTCTATATAAGGAGGAAACAATGATGGCTCCAGACATTGACACTCAACATTTTTAAAGTCTAATATTCATACAATGTTTAAGAGTAACTAAAACCTTTGGGTATAAATGCAGAATGGAGATCTGTTTTCATTATTTTTTTCCTTACTGTTTATAGAATGGTGGCCTAATGATACTTAATACAATGGGAACAAACCCTGTTTGTCAACTTTTTACATCCTTTTTTTTGCACTAGCACTGACTTCCTGTATTGTATTTTCTTGTCCCTTTTCTAAGAAAATGGAGTAGCATTTGCAGAAGTGGAAAAACTGGACTCTGTCTGTTCCTAATGGCCACGTGCCACTATAATTCACAAATAATGCATGATTCTGTAAGGACTGACCTTTATAAGAAAACTGATTTCATAGAAAGATCATAATTATATTTAGTAGAGTAATATTTCACAGCACTGCTCGAGCTAAATATTTCAAGGACATCTGTCAGCTACCCAGGTCATTTTGAAGGGTGTAATATTAATTTGTCGCCAGTTCATGCTTCAATATGACAAGACGTTCAGGCTTTTCCTTGCTACAGTAATACTGAATATTATTGTTTGGTCTATTGTTTTGGAAAAATAAAACAGCAAAACATCAAAACACAATATGTACAATAAATTGGAGTTAGTCAGCTCCGGATTAGTATTTTGTTTCTTTTCATTTTAGTTAAAGGGCTTATTAAAAAACAATCCATCCATATATAAATCATCAAGTATCTTGAAGTTGGCATTTTGAGCCCATTACAGGGGTGTACATGCACAATGGCACACGGGAAGCAAAGAAGTTACCCATGAGTCTCCACCCCATAACTCCCAGTTTCCCATATTGAAGTTGCGGGGTCCACCTACTTTGCCTTGGAAAGAATGTGAGCGCTATATTGTAATTGAAAGAAGAAAGCATTTTAATACCAAACCAACTGAGTCATAACGTCTTGTACAGAGCCTTGGCATATTAAAATGAGACGAGAAAAACAACTCCACAACCTGAAATAAATTATGAATCTGAAATTGTAGATCTACTACCTACAGTGGAAATATTAATAATATTATTAGCCTTCCGAAAAATGCACCATGCACAAGATATAAGTGCAACTGTACCTGCTCTAATATTCTAATATATGGTGTTTTGTTGCAGTGGTATTCTCTCTCTAGAAAAGCTTTTTCTGTGTCCATTTTAATACTGCATTGCTCTGTACATGCTAAAACGTTTCTACAAAACACCAATACTTAAAATGACTGGGTACAGACTCCTTGTTGACAAACTTTGTATTATAATCATTTCCTTTCATAAGCCTTATCCCAGCCCTTTATCATGTGATTGAACCACAGGACCTTTGAGAAAGTGTAATGATAATAAAAAACCTTTTAACTGTAACCGCCAATAACCTATAAGTCCGCATTAATAACTTGGACTTGTCACGACAGACACTGGAAAGTACCTCATACTTAGCAAAAGAATGACTAGCTCAAATGTACGATCACCGTATTACTCATTAGAAGAATTTCAAATCCTTAATTTGTTGTGCTCTGTTGTCACAGATACAATGTTCTGACATCTAAAAACATCAACAATATATTATTTCTTATTAGATGTAAACCTAACAATACAAATTGTACATTTCCTATACATTTAAAGAATATAAGCTACGTTGGCCAAAATATTACAGACTCCCACTGGCTGAAACCCTGGATCTCTATGAGCAACAAGAATGACAGGAAAGGCAGTAGCATGTATACTGCCAAGTCCTGAAAGATTTCATGTGACTGAACGTCACATTCCAGCAGGATTAAGATCTGGGGATTTTTCTAACCATGGGACCAGCTGCAAACCAGTCCCCTGCTCCTCAAGCCCACCAGAAATAGCCAATGACAGACCTGGGTCATCTGACCTTGGACAGTCTGATAAAAACAATAATAAAAAACTTTATTTTATATAGCGCTTTTAAAGGTGGCTTCTCAAAGTGCTTCACAGAAATGACAACAACAATAAATAAAAAGAATACACAAGATAAAACACAATTACAATACACAGAGGAGACTGTGGATGGTGGTACTAAGTATAGTAGGAGCAGAGGGGTAAAGAATGGAACCAGTTAAGTAAAAGTCCTGATCATGAGGTACTTCTGAGTCTTCTGTTTTTTTTGCTCCAAGTTACTTAAAGTTATTGAATCCATTATTTAACCAATTACGTAATTCTCTTCTGTGTACATCTTTATCTTCTATGTTTATTCTTTCTGAGAAACAGCTCTCTATTTCAGCATGATTTAAAACAGTTACCACAGCTATCCCATAACATTAGATAGCTAATAGATAGCTAATCCTATAACTTTAGAAATAGCACACAGCCTAGCCCCCTCAGTAACTAGTAGTGGGCTATGACAGCATTTTCAGGCCAGTTTCCAGGACTTTTTAATATCCATCCCCTTCTCTTCCTTAACGGCCCTTGTGCCTGACTCACTGTATCTGCTTGGTCTCCAGACTGTCTTAATAAAGTAAGCCAGATTCTACTCTTGCAATAATTTAGCATTCCTAACATACTGAACTCCCATTCTCAGGTTTCCTAGCAGTTTTTTTTTAGCTCTGTCTTGTGAGACATACCTTTTCTCTGACTCCTTCCACTAGCTCTCAGGCTGCTAGCTGATGACTGTCCCATCTTTCAAATGATCCTTATGTCAGGTAGGGTCAACTAAGTGTATGTTTCAATTTTCTGGAAAAATGTGCTTTAAATATTTAAGAATAGGGTAAAATAAATTAATTATACTACTGTGTCCACTTACTTCTGGAAGAACTATTTTAGGAAACCATAATTACTATCAATATCAAGTCTACACAAGAAAAGTAAAATATGGTAATCTAGAACTGATGAGTATTGTAAAGATCCAGCACTGTTTCCTATTTATAATATAATGTGCCTTAAAAATCTGGATTATAATGGTGTTTCTTAATTGGTAACACACATTCTCTTAACAGTACACACACTGTTCTTACACCGAAGGTAAGAAATATTTCCAACAAAAATTCTCTAGACCCACTTTTGTGTACTGCAGCAAAAATGCAGTTACATTTAGGCAAGCTAAAAGCATCTGCACAAGATAAAGCACTGCTACTAATACACAAAAACTTTAATTTTAATTACTTAGAGAATTAGAGAGGCATGCCAATCTACACTAAGGTCCCTGCTACCTACTATTTCGAATACCACACCACGCAAAAGTCTGAAGAGACTTGAGGTTCTCTTGATAAGGCTGGGCAGCCTCCCCTGATGAGAATACAGCTAATAAAGACCCAGCTATTAATGAGTGTGAAAAATACAACATATTTCTGTGATACACTCTTTATAAAGCTATTGAAGTCGCACTGAGAGAGCGTCTATACAGAAGAATGTTACAGGAGATGCTGGATAGTGACGAAGTCTTGCTTGCTCATTTCTTAGGCATGAGGAACTCCAGCATTCACTACACTTTAATCCACTCTGAAACAACACAGCACATATCTCCCACCATAAAACTGTACAGACATACTCTGTCCCAGGTGAACCACGTTTTAAGCTCCTACTGGAAAATGCCCTCATATACCATTTACCAGCAAACCAGTGGTGCCCAACTCTATAAACTTGGAAACGGTGTTAATTGATCCAGTTATACCAATGATTAGGATTATGTGTAGTTGAGAGTATATGTGGAATTAAACTCTGTAGAAATTGTGTCCTTCTAGTACTGGGGGTCTGTACCCTTGATATAAACAGTTGCTCAAAGGTATTCAATTCGTTTTACTATTTATTACAATAGTATCTTTCATTACTTTACACGCTGTCCTGTTCTTTATTCAGATTTAGAAAAAGTTGTTTACCTTGCTTGTAGAGGCTTTATAAGTGGTCTTCAGTTTCTGAGAAAGCTGACTCGTACTATGGCTGGCTGTACGGATATAAATTTATGATTAATCATAGTCGTAAACGTAACATTGAAACTGCAAACTCCAATGTCATTCTTTACACAACACAGCATTACACATCTATCATTACACTTATAAATGGCAAATGTTACCACTTAAAAGGTAAAGCCATTTTAGACCTTTAGATCTACATTATTTTTTATCTGTTTAAGAATACAGTGTTAACTCAACCTCTCAACCTGTTTCACACATTCAGAGAATGCAAAAGAGAACAATTAAGAGATAATTTCTTCATAAAAGTCAACGTTTTGAAACGGCCAGCTCTGCATTTGTACTTGCAAAACAGTCCCTTAAAACACAGCATGACCTGAAACCAAAAAATACCATTACTTACACCATACAAAATACCATTTGTTGTTCCTGCAAATTTCTGGATTCTTTAATATTACTACTGCAATGCAACATAGACCACAGCAATCCTTATACTCAATGAAAATCCCTAAAGACAGATACATAGTTCAGATAGAACCATACATGGATTATATGACTACATAAACAAAGACTGTTTATTCTCTTTATGTTACTGCCATGTTGCTGAATAGCTATGTTTAAACAGAAACCCTGAAAGTGCTGAACCTACACAAAACAATAAATACTAACATTCAAGTAATGCAATTACCAAATGGTGAGGAATATACACATTTTGCAAGCCAATGACAGAGATCAAAACACGCCATTAGTAAGCCATGCAAACTTTCCCAAGTACAGTAGGGTTCAGAAAAAACATTTTTTTCCATAAATGTGAAGTCTTTTGGCGGGGAGGAAATTGAAGGAAGAGAACTCTACAGATGAGCAGTCTTTGGCTATAATTACTTTTTTACAAACCTTTTGCCTTCAGTGGGCCCTTACTCAGATCCCCTCCATCGATGGTTTGTCCTTCGGCTGCCAGTCTCTCATTAAGAGTATCGATCTCTCTGCGCACTGTGGGACAGGAACATCAAGATGGCAGCAGTGTGGAGTGGTGGGCTGGAGTCTGGACTTTTAACTGGAAGGTTGTGGGATCGAACACCAGCTGGCAAACTGCTAGAGCAGAACTTCACTCTCATCACTCCAATAAGACACCCTGCTGTGTATGTAAATGGGAACTCTCCATATCACTATTGGAAATCAGAATTTGCTCTCACATGAATTATGTGGTTAAGGAAACACCTGCTATGTCAAATGGTGAACTGACAAAAGAAATGTTTCTGAAAGGTCAAACATTCATTTTGACATTTAACATCTTGACACAATATTATAACATCAAAACTCAAGCTTTTTAGAGCACCACTTTTTTTCTCTATTTTATGACACTTAATAACGCCTAATTATTTATCCAGAACGTGTTGTGAAATTAGAATCAACTGAATTCATCCTCATGCCTACATGTCAAATATGCAATGTTTCAAAATTACGTTCAGGAAACAAGTAGCACATTTTGATGAAGTGCATTCATCTACGTGATCAAGTAAAATGGTTGAAAAATTAATCTTGTAATTAATACTGTTTTTAATATCAACATATTTAAGTAATAGTATAAATAAAGTCAAAATAAACAGTACTTACGCTCCACATTTTCAATATAGAGATTTTCAAACTCTCGCTCAATCTGTCCAAACAGGTCAAGAAGATTGTTTCTCAGAGATGCAGGGAGTTTAGAATCCTAAGAAGAAAAAAGAAATAGGACAAAATTATTATTTTTTCAAAACAAATTAGCTGCTATTTCTTTGGCATTATATGGCAATAATAATGTTCTTAACAGCTTACATAACAATATAGCAACAAATTGATCTACACATATATACGGTAAAAATAAATATTTTGAAAACTGGAAAAATGTCAGGAAAATAAATGATCAATTAAAGATATAATTACAAACACAAACATCTTATAAGAATTAGCCAGGTTCATACAATTATTTGTAGTGATCATGTATAATAGTATCATGTATAATAACCCTACACATTCCAATTCATATTCTGAATTTATTTAACAAAGGATAATGCACAGGTCATTGCATCAGTATATACACTCCATACAGTATGTGCAGAATGAAGTACAAAATAAAAATAATTCACATAAAGAATAAATAAAACTTATGATGATGATAATGATTTTAAGCAATAATAACTACAATCTGTATTTAATAATCGCATTCTACAAGAAACATTAATGTTTTTTATACCAAACAGCTTTGTCCTGGCTGGATTCTGCTCAGCTATTTTACTTGATTCAACATCAGTTGCTCTTAAATATTCACAAAATGAAAAAAATAAATAAAACCATTACACATTCTGTTTTAGATGACACACTCTGTTGACCCACATTTGAGGAGCTGCCCTGTTCCAATTTTATTTAGAAATAAATACTGATTTTTTTTTTTTTATGTGGAAGTACCCCCTTTTAGGTTTAAGAATAATACTCCTGTTTATCTCCACAAGTGGACTGATCTGATACGAGATGAGGTGTATGAAAAAGGAATTGTAAGTCAGAAGTCAACGAACAAATACACATTAGGAAAATGTGGACAGGCGTTTGTGAAACTGAGGTAACTGGAGATTTGAAGTACTGGCTTCCTGGAGAACTGTAGATCAATCTTCATTCATCTCAAGCAATTGAATCTCGGCAGATTTTCCTCAGTTTGGAAGCCTTTCCTTTCATACTGTGTCCAGTGACAGTTACTTAATAGCTGTTTTTCACCGATACACACCTGCATCTAGACCCTGCCCAGAGCGCTGGCACTTGACGCACAAATACCTTCCCAAAATGTTCAAGCGTTGTGTAGAATAGATGAGGAGTGAAATGGGCCGCTAGTGTTTTGCGATTGCAGACAGTCAGCTGTTGTTTTCCTGGCATTTAGCCCTTTTTCACTTACTTGGTTTAATGGACTTTGGATTTAACAGACAGAATCTGCTAAAGAGTAATCTGTACAGTCAGAAATACCAGATTTTCCCTGTAATAACAAATTGCTCACAATGGGTGGGTTTTTGTTTTGCGTTTTGGGTGTTATCGAAATTTTAGAAAACATCCAAAAATGCTAACAATATGTAGAAAAGCTCTGTAGAATGCACAAAAATTAAAGCAAGGCACAAAATACATGGATTGAAAACTCATGAATGGCTCCCCAGTTGCTTGTGATGGATTATGTGTTTCTTATGCTTTATAACATGAATACAGTAAATGAAACACAGGGAATGAAGAGCTTGTACTGTAAATTTATGATAAAGTCACATTGCGTTGATTACAAGTACAAAAATACATCAAATGATTCAGACAGCACATATGAAGGATACATTTTTTTCATATAATAGTGCGTTTGGGCTGGAAAAATGTCCTTTGTGATTTAATGGACATTTGGCTATAACAGACATCTCTTCCTCTCTATAAGTCTGTTCAACTAAGGGATTTACTGTGTGAAATACAATAATTGTATTGCACAACAAAGTGTTGCTGACCAGCAATGCAGCATCACTCCTTTAATTAATACAAAAACCTCTAAATTCCCAGTCTGAAGATGGAGAACTTGATTGTTCTTGTGACAACATGAAGCCTGATCTCATAATCTATGCATGACTAGCCCTGGTCAATACTGGGATGGGAGACTTCCAGAGAAACCCAGGTTGGTGCTGCAAATGGTGTCTGGTGGACCAGTAGGTGCTGCTCTTTGTTCTACAACATCATTTTCAAACTGACACAACAGTATGGTGATCAGGGACACCGTGAGAAATAAAAGCACCAGCCTCCAGATGAGACGGTAAACCGTGATCATGATTAATTGGTCAAAGACCTAAAGGCACTTTCTGAAAGACTAGCGGTTTTAAACCCTGGTGTCCCAGGGCCCACCCTGGGCTTGTACAAAATGGCTTGCCTAAAGTTCCCCCTTACACCAACTGGTGAAGCAATTTTTAATTTCTCTGCTGGACTAGTTGTGTAGAGGGGATCCTGGCGTTGCAAGCATAAGTGGTACACTTCAGAGGCGGATGAGGTGGACACCTTTTATGTATAAAGCACTTTGGTATCCTTTGGGATAAAATGCACTAGAGGCGTGACTTTGCTGGTTTTACTAATGTTAATGATAGCCAAACAGCAGTTGCTGCCCTCTGCCACCATGTGGACAATACGTGCCACAAGCTCAAAATATGCAGTCACAAGCTGATTGCTCCGAAATATTACGGTGCAGCAGTATTGGAAAGAAAAGTATCTGACCTTCAGAAACCTGCTGGCAAAAGTTCCCATTTGCCCTTTTTGTCCTCTGCTAAGCACATTTTAAATATCTCATAGAGCTCTGCAGCAAAGAACATTGGGGGATGAGATTCTTTCAGATAAAATAGAAGAGCAGCATTTCCCTCTTGATCTATGAAGCTTCCAAGTTTCAAAGGGATCTTTGAATCATCATCAAACAGAGACAGCCTTCAGTTATTACAGCGCAGTGGCATTTTTTATTCCAGGCTTGTGAAAACCGTCAGGCAAAGCAGCCAAAGGGAAGGTTGCTTTCGACGTGCATAAAATGATGCAGACTTTGGACTTGCAAAGATGCTTCTATGAACTTAAACAATCTTAAGTTCAAAATTATCCCCTGCTCTACAGCTAGAGTTGAAAGAACTTTTTTCAGCTTTGAAGCTCAGGAAAACATTGACACGGCAAAATCTTGGCAACTTTAATGATAATTGAGAAGGGGGTGAGGAGTACTCTGTGCCACCAGCCCATTTTCTACAATTTAGGCACAGTGATGCTCTTGAAACAAATATATTTTCAAAAGAAAATGAAACAGAAATTTCTTATGAGGAACTCATGGTACTGGCAGCAGAATTGTGTTTCAATTGTAACAGTTAAAATAAAGACCAAAAGAAAAATCTTTGTTTTAATTGTCAATTTCATTAAAAAATGAAGTAATTTCTATTTAACAGCCTTATTTTAATTCATGCAGAACAGTTATACAATACAGTACAATACAGTTTTGTATTGTACATTTTCAAGGTGATATATTCATTATGAATATGAGTTAAAAGTACCACAACTATAACAGCAAACTGTGTAAATGTAAATTGCAAGGGGTGTGCTTTTGTCAGATTTATTTACAGCAGGAATAATTCATGCAAAAATTTAACCAGCACTGGGAATGCCAACAACCAAAAAAAACAGCCAGAAGCATTTTATACCACTCATCACTAGCATCCTGTAAACAAAGCATGTCGTGGTCAAAAACAAATTCTGGACAATTTTAAAGAAAAACATGCAATGCCTTTTTAGCTAACTGACATCAGGAAATAGCACTATAAGGTGGTAAAATAAAGTACACCAAAACGCTCACTACTATTAAAATATCTCTTTCTGTTCCATCAGTTTCAACTCCAGGATCCAGGAGAATCAACTTCAAACTTGGAGACCAGGAGTGTTGACTTGAACACCACAAAGTCACAGAGCGGCTCTTCTGAGGAATATATTCCCAAGGTGACAAGAAGGTGACAAGCTGAAACTGGATCCATCTTACACCCGAAACATCTGGGAACACCTCCGAGACTTCAAGAAAAACAGACTGCCTTGAATCATGTTTGTACATGAACAGATTAATCACTGTGCTATCAAACCTGTCCCTAGTTTCCACAACTCCCAGCCTAGTGGGTTCATCCAAACATCATACGGTCATACATTTAAACTCTCTACACTTACGCATTCTTGATGTAACACAAATGTGTCAAATATTGTAAAAAAGAGGAAAAAGATAGTGTCTTATAAACAATATAATGTTTAAATTAATGTTTGACACATGTTGGCTTGGACTGACTGGATTAAAATCCTTGAGATTGAACGTGATAATAAATAACAAGGCATGTAATATACTTAATGAAATATCACCATTTCAACCAGAAGGCAGAACACATAGCATAAGGAATTCTACTCAATGGGGTTGTGAACAATTCAGTTAAATTATATTCATCAACTGACTGCTCACCATCCGGTGTTTGAAAGCAATACGAAGATTCAGAGGAATTCAAATGATTTTGCCTTTCTAATCTACAAAGCATTTCAAGCACATTTCAAGAAACTTCATACACACTTTAAAGACAATGGTAGTCAAGGTTTGGTTATTTCCCGACACTGAGCACACAGCATGAGGGTACAGACAAACTGAAAAACACATGCAAATGGATGAATCCATGTTAGACATTAAGAGAACTAATAACTCTCTACAGGAGAATAAATGCTACATGAGAGCAAATCTGTGGTCTTAATTACTCCAATAATTGCAAAACTCCCCAGCTTTACTGAAAGCTTGTTTCATCTGGAATATGTCGTTAAGTATCGAAATGTTTGACTTTTACACTCTTTAAGGGTAATACAGTAGGTATTCTTGTTAGAATTTGCATAGATGTAATGGTTTTATGATATTGCTATTTCTCATGTATCATTTTACCCCCTAGTCTGTAAGAATATCAATTTACAGTAATGTCAGCTATTGAAGCAAATCCATTACCTACAAAAATCAGAGGCCATGACAGCTGGGGAGCAGCTTAATATTGCCTTTCATTTTATATGATCATAGCTAATGTTACATGACCAATGTGAGGGTCAGAGAATTATTTCACAATTGTTGAAAAAAAAAACATTCTACCAAAATATTATTTCAGGAATCCATTCTTAAATAATGATTTTATCGTTCAC